TGTTTGGAGGGTTTCGCATGTGAGTGCATGTGTATGAACCTGTTGCATTTTGCATAGTTGAATTTAGTATCACTCGTGAAAGCACTTAAAGTGAAATGCCTGCCATCTTTGTCTATATATTTTACGACGAATATAGGTCACCGCATATGCGTAAATACATATATCTCTTCGTAACTAGGCGTCGTATGGAATAATATAATGATATATCCTTGGCAGGCACAGTTTGGCTGAACACTTTGATATTTAAATGTTATGCGTGCTCAACACAATACATATGTTGTATTAAGAGCGTGTCTAGCCATTTTATATAGAATGAATAGTTGTAATAGAAAATATATATAATATTTGTATGTGCTTTTGTAACTTGGTGAGTGCGTAATGCTCTACAGGAGGACACAACCCCAGTGGGTATATTAAAATTGTGATCACGGCATATTTCGGTGTCTGGCGACGCACCTTGGGTGTTAGAATTTAAAGCATAAAACTCTCTAATGTATAAGCTAAAAATCTTCATAGTGGGAATTTGTGGGCAAAGAGGAGTGTTTGGTTTAGTGTTTGCTTAAGAGAAATGTGCGAACCTTTTAAATTCAATGTTAATACACATAGGTGGTCTGTGGTAGTCTAAACGCTGCCAAATATTCACCGTATCAAAAATCCATTTTAGGCAAAAATAACTATTTCTTTTTAGAAAACTTCAGCACACAACGAGTTTGACCCTCGATGCAGAGACATCGCTACACCGACGCAACAATTTGGCCAAAATTAATCGGCATTTCAGACGTAATAATAGTTCAAAGTTCACAACTCCGTTAGCGCCAATGACTGATGACATTTTAGAAAATAATTTTGTAAATGAAGAACACTGCTGCCCACTAACGAAATACAATGAAACACTTTTTTTTACTGATGGCGTGCGTTCAATTGATTTTGTGCTTGCCTACAAGATGGATCCAGACACAAGCCAAGAAGGGATTAATGCGCATAAGCGGTTCAAATTCGAAGCCAACCTGTTGCAACATGGACTACAGATGGAAGTGGATATTAAGGAGCAGCAGCATATTCATTTTGTGAAAGTAGGTGAAGTAAAAATATATGTTTTACATACATATATAACAGTTGCTGAAAAATTTACAATTGTTATTTGCTCTATAGATACATGCGCCATTGGATGTTTTACGTCGTTATGCCGAAATTTTAAAGCTGCGTATGCCTATGAAGGAGGTAAGACAAAGTTATTTGATTTTATTGATAATCGAAAATGTTGTTTTTTTGTAAGACATAATATCAATTAAATGGGTTTGCGAATACATACATACATATATACATTTGAAATTAAGAAGTACAGCATTGTGAAAATATTTTGATAAAATAATAATTGTAACTTAATGCTGTACAGTTTTAAACCCTTTCCTTGCAGATGCTATGCGTTGTAAGTAACTCAAGTTCGATAGCTTGAAGTGTGTGTCGGCTATTAATTATAACATAATAAAATATAATTTAAAGCATATTTAATCGGTATATTATAAAGCTTTTAAATTATTTTTCTTTAAATTTAACATACATATGCTTTATGGTATAAAATAAAAAGCAATTTCATATAAATTATTGGTTATTAATTACATATTTTAAAAATTATCTATCAATATTTGAATATATGTATTTCGTATGAACTTTTTTACTTTATAAAATTTTGTTCTTTTTCATTTTCAGCAAATATATGTAGAATTTAGATATTCTTACTGTGTAGGTAAAAAAAAAACTGAAAGTCTTGTTGATCCCAATGTAGTTCACCAACTTTAGAGCCCTTTTTTTTCACTACATAAATTTATATTTTTATATATGCTGTACCATATATGTAAATACATATTATCTATATATATGGACATATATGCTGTTTATATAGATAATAACCTCTTCACATATATTTTAAACATTTACTAAATCATTCCGCACACAACCTAATTTATTTTTAATGCACTACTATTGCAGGATCTTTGTAGTACCACAGTTTACAGCAAATACAGTCGTTTGCTACATGCAGCGCAATATCTCTCACGAAAGGTCTGAATTACATACGTACATACGAAAAAATTTTGCATTTAATTTAAAAATAAACGCATCTTACTACTAGCTATTACTTTCAAACCATTCACCTGCTTTTGCTCACTTCAGCTATTTCGTATTAAATATATAGTATATAAAACAGGCTTAAAATTATTACAAATTGTTCTAAGAACCCAAGTTTTTGTATTTTTTAAATATTGTGGCTTCGTTTTGCTGCTTAATTGAACTTAGTTCTGCTGTACTAATCGTATACAGTTAGCTTGGAGATAAATTAAATATTATGAATTATATTTACAGATACCGGGCATGTCTGCAGTGAATCGTTCAACTCGAAGCGCCTTCTCTAGTCTCAAAAGTCTTGTGCAATTCTTTCTTCGTCACATCTTTGTGGATGAACGGTATTTCCCTCGTCGTGCGTATCGCTTCACCGCCATCTACAGTCGTGATAAAGAGTATTTGTGAGTTGGAAATGTTTTTTTTTCATTTAATGGTATTTTGTTTTTATTATTTAAATTTTTTTTAATACAGATTCGATATACATAATCGTTGTTTTTTTACAAATGCAGTGCGCTCGCGTATTGTGCAGTTCATATTGGATCGGCAATATTTTGAGAATCCCGACAAGGATCCGCGAGCGTTCGGTATTGATCGCATGGTAGAATCGAATGTGTATTGCGCTGCTTATCCGCTGCATGATGTGAGTGTTAATTAAATCAAACTCTGACAAAAGTCGATAGCATTTATATATATTTTCCTAATTTCAGGGCGAAATCACAGAGAAGGGTACAATGCGCGAAGCTCTTTATACAAACTGGGCCTCCGTTAAGAAGTGGTATCGTTACCAGCCGCTTGATTATGTAAAGGAATATTTTGGCGTTAAAATTGGTATATTTTATATTTTCAACATACAATTAATCGCCACTAACTTATTTAGGTTTTTTTTAAGGTCTGTATTTTGCTTGGTTGGGCTTTTACACCTACATGCTGTTGCTTGCCTCGCTGATTGGTATTATTTGTTTTGTGTATTCATTGATAACATTAAAGGATTATGTGCCAGTGTATGTAATTTTTACCGGAACTAATTTTCACTACAACTGCCCTAAAATTTTAATTCAATTTAAATTTTTTACATATCCACACACAGTCAAGACGTTTGCTCCAATGAGCATACTAATAACCTCACTATGTGTCCCCTTTGTGATCGATGCGATTTCTGGTATCTCAAGGAGACATGTTTTTATGCCAAAATTACCTACCTCTTTGACAATCCTAGTACTGTGTTCTTTGCTGTCTTCATGTCCTTTTGGGCTACACTTTTTTTGGAGTTATGGAAACGTTATTCGGCGGAGATTACGCATCGTTGGGATTTAACTGGCTTCGATGTGCACGAGGAGCACCCTCGTCCCGAGTATCTGTCGCGTTTGGGACATGTGAAAAATACTCGTACGCGTATTGATTACGTTACGAATATACAAGAACCAGTAGTGCCCTTTTGGCGTATGAAATTTCCTGCCACTATTCTAAGCGTTTCGGTTGTTTTTCTGTTGATTCTTTTGGCTTTCGTTGCGCTTGTTGCGGTAGTAGTGTATCGCATGTCTATGCTGGGCACTTTCAAACTGAATTCTAGTACGATGACTACTTCGAGTGCTATCATGTTGGCTACAGCTTCTGCAGCGTTTGTCAACTTATGTCTGTTATATCTGCTGAACTATGTAAGTCATGAAATTCATAAAATCTAACAATTAGCTAATTCTAACTTTTTTTATCAGATGTACACACAACTCGCTGAGTATCTGACTGAGCTGGAAATGTGGCGCACACAAACACAATTCGACGATTCTTTGACACTGAAGATTTATTTATTGCAGTTTGTAAATTATTATGCATCCATCTTTTATATAGCATTTTTTAAAGGAAAATTCGTAGGACATCCAGGAAAATACAACACAATATTTGATTATCGACAAGAAGAGGTAATTTTTGTACTAAGTTTCATTATCTAATGTCCAACAATATGCCCATTGTAGTGTTCCTCCGGTGGTTGTTTGACTGAGCTCTGTATTCAGCTGGCAATCATAATGATTGGAAAACAAGCATTTAACACCATAGTGGAAGTAATAATGCCAAAGATTTGGCGAAAAATCATGGCCATACAAGTTGGTCTCTCGCGTTTGTTCAACAGTAAGACTCATGATATGAATAAGGAGAAAGTGGAACGTTATTTGCGCGACTTAAAATTACTTGATTGGGGTCCACGCAGTTTATTTCCGGAGTACTTGGAAATGGGTAAATGTAGCTGGTTTTCGTGCACAATGGTTGTTTTAACAAAACATGACCTAATATTGTGTTTACACTTGAAGTTTTACAGTATGGTTTCGTTACATTATTTGTGGCCGCTTTTCCTTTGGCACCTTTCTTTGCGTTACTTAACAATATTTTCGAAATGCGTTTGGATGCGAAAAAATTGCTGGCCAACCACAGGCGTCCCGTTTCACAGCGTGTGCGTGATATTGGTGTTTGGTATCGGATATTGGACAGCATAGGCAAGCTGAGTGTGATTAGTAATGTGAGTGAAAATGAAATGAATGTTTTTTTTTTCTACTCCTAATTGTTGACTACTACAGGGCTTCATTATTGCCTTTACATCTGACTTCATACCTCGCCTAGTTTATCGTGCAAGTTCTGAGGGTCATACGCTTGCTGGCTATTTGAATTTTACCTTATCCGAATATAATATAACGGAATCTGAAAATTTGCGAAGTTTAGCTGGTGATGATTCATATATAAGAACGTGCTTGTAAGTCCTTTCAAATAATAAAATATTTTTATAATCTACATAATTATTTTCTCTTAGTTATGCTGATTTTCGAGAACCACCAAATTCGCCTCGAAAATATTATTTAACAAGTACATTTTATGTCATACTCGCTTGTCGATTGGCTTTCGTTGTGGTATTTGAGGTGAGTTGAAATAAACAAAAATATTGGGGATAAGTGAATTTGAGGAAAAATTATCCACAATATTGAATGAAAGAGTTAAAATGACACTGACCTGAAGTAAATTTCTCGCCCAATCCTTGATTCCAACTCTCGTTTAAACTGTTTCATAAGAGCACTGTTTTATTTATTTTGGAAGTTTTACATATTATATATTAAAATTTTTAAATTTTCTTGTTAAATAAATGCATTATTCAATAAACAAAACGCTCATAACCAAATTGTTGTTTAATGGTGCTACTAAAATTCGCCATGGATTCAAGCCAAATTTAAACTTTAACATGCTGATAGAGTCCAGCTGCTTCCACAATACTCTCCTGTAATGTACGATTCTCACTGACCGTTGCCTTGAGCAATTTGTATAGTGCAAAGATCCCGAATAAAGAGAGCGCATTGAAGACTGTTAAGGAAAAAATGAAAATATGAGTGCGTATAAGTTTGTGCAGGTATTTTTAATTTCATTTATTTCACCCATAAATACGCCAAAAATCACACTATGCACTATACGCCGATCCAATGCGATTTCCTCTTCGAATTCATTCATTTTAATTTCCATGAATACAAATACGGCTATCTCAATGCCAATCGAAATCGTGGTGTTAATGAGCCAGGGAGCAATGCAAACAAGACGTTGCTGCAATAATGCAAACGGATTCATTTGGTTTCTGATACTTTTTGTAGTAATTATTTCGTAATTGTTTTACCTTTCTTATACCATCCATGAGTATAGAAGCAACAACTAAATTAATCAACGATTTTACCCAAATAGTAACAGCCAGTACCATATAGAAAGCATTGGAGAAGTTATGTACGAGTACATAATCAACTGTAAAGTAGAATTTTGCAAAAGTTACTGTGTAATATTAGTCGTTATAAAAATAATCACTCAACATTTTTTATTTTAAATGCCTTTGGTGATTTTTGGAAAATTTGAAAACTTTGAAAATAATTTGAATTTTGAAAAATCCTTTAAGGGAGATATTTTGAATATCTAATCTATCAAAATATGAACAAAATTTTTTTTCTAATTTCTAGAATACAATACCAGTTATTTCGAAACCAAAAATTTGCCCAAATTCAGAAAATTAATTTTTCAGTCCGATCAATTACAGAAACATTTGAACTTTTGAGTTCGGAATCAAGATATAGTTTTACTTGTCAATAGTTCTATAGAAAGGAAAGCTTACTGGAAATATATTTTTATGTAAATTAAATGTATTAGCACAAATGTTAGATTAATAATAGTTTTTTTTCTGAATTTCTAAAAAACTTACCAACTATTGCAATGAAATTACTTAAAGGACTCAATATTTTCACATCGTCCTGCGGCCAATATGACACATACACATAGTCGGTCCACAGATAGTAGGAGCAGAGTGCTAGCGTGCACAACCCTACGATGATATCAAAGCCGGCAACAACAATGCCAAATGAACGTAAACTGAAACAATTGAAACGTTTCATTGTGGACGGGCACGATGGTAGTGTTAGTAGCGCTGGTGTTGCTGCACTTTCTTCTAAGTCCGGCGCAAAAGTATACGAATGTATCTCAAAAAGCGATTTGAGAAAATCCACTTTAATTTTTTAAAAAATTTTAATATTATTCCATTCAAATTTTCTTATAATATTTCTTGCATTTGACGCGTTGCTGACGCTTTGGCGTTTACAATTGCACTGAATTAAAGTATTCCCATTGTATTTGCCAAGACATCAAGACGTATGACTCTGTGGCAGACGGCTAATTTTATTTAGTTTAGTGGGCTTGCTGCATGCCACTTGTCGTTTTGCATTGTTAAGTGATTAGCGACCATACGTGGCGTCAGGGCTACATATACAGTGAAAGTGCTAAAGTTGAATGATCTGACACACTTCCAAACAGAGCTACTTAAGAGCCGTTGCCATTAGGAAGGCGGGTACAGTGGCGAATTTCATGCAACACGTGCGAAATGGCTGCATAAATCAAGTTTAAATTATGTATTTCATGATGCTTTTTCTTTTAAATAGTTTTGAATAAAATTTCGACTGAGTTTTTTAAAGATTTTAGTATATTGTATATAGTACTGATTTGTATAGAAATTTGTCTATTTTTATAGAAATATAGTAAAAGTCTGTAAAAATTTCCGAACTGGAAAATTATTATCATTTAATTTATTTTGTATAACTATAATTTATTTAAAACAAAATAATATTTTATTATAAAAAATATTTGTTACACATAGTCGTTCCCCCTTTACTCGTATTTGTAACTGTGCCCACCAGGCGGTGGCCTTAATAACTTTTGAAGGCAAAATTAAAGCTGCTATTAAACAACAACACTTTTAAGCAAACAAAATTTACAACAATCAATTTATTTTACAAATAATTAATTGTCATATTTCTATCAATTCGATTCGGACTCGTTAACGATCAGTAACCCCTTAACTCTAACCACGCTCTTCTTTAATGAATTTAAATGCATTCCTATGTCATCATACTTAGCACATGACCCCATTTTTCGCTGTGAACACCGAGAATGAGGTAAAAATTTTGGTTTAAAGAGTACTTTCTTTGTAACATTGAATTTATATTTATTTGTTCAACAAAAAATAAGATAAACCATCCATTTTAGGTGTTGAAAAAATCGTATATTAACCCTTTTAGTGCCAGGGAAATTAGTGCCATTTGAAATTAAAAAAAAAACAAAGGTATAAACGTTTGTAAATGAAATGAATTTGAGATCTCTTGTAGAAAACGTATATGCACATACAAACAGTCATCTGTTCATCATAATTGTATATGGGCCAATTATTATAAAGTATATACTTTGTATTTCCAATATATATTTTGTAACAAGATAACCAATATTACATATTACATAACATAAACATAACTTGAAGGTACGGTGTTTATGTTAGATTCCGGTACCTCCAAGCGACAGAAAAAACGTCGTCAACAAAGAGTTCAAACAAAAAAATATTTTTTTAAAATTATTTTGTGATGAAATAAGATCATTTATAACGCATTACAAATTTATTTTGAGATAGAGTTCTCCCGCAATGCAAATAGTAAAGCGCTACAAGGCGCGGACCGATAAATCGGCTCTAGCACTTCTCGCCAGTGCAACAAAGGGTTAAAAAATGATGCGTAAGAATTCAACATACATTATTCGACGAATCAGTCAATGAATTAAAATCTTTCTTGATATCTTATTGACTTAAGTATATTACTACATTTTGTTTGGTCCGATACATTTATATGAAAATCAACCAAACAATTTAAGGTAATGTGGAAAGTCGTAAATCACTTATAATAATATTGGGGCTAGGGAAAGGTCTGGACTCCAGAACATGTTTCCACGCTATTTTAATGAGATAATTCACACATCGACCGATACTTTGAGTATAAAGTCTGCTAGAATTATGAAAATCATTATAAGTAGTATAAAGAAGTTAGGGTAGAACTGCTTTCACACATTTTCGGTATTAAACTATACTATATAAAATATATTACCGAATTTTCCTAATTTTCACAAGGGCGCATTATTACTATGAAGCTATTCTCTCTGAATTTCATTAGTATATCCACTGATTGGCCGATATTTTTGGTATAATGTCAGACATAGGCACTGATATTCACATATTCGGTACCTGGGACTTGAAAATTTATGAGTTTAAGAAATGGGATGCCTTATATTGTGGATTATATTCAAACAAAGTTCCTATGTCTTCATTAAATAGTGCTTGATTTGCGTACTGTAAAGTGAAATAATCAGATAGAATTTAAAATTGTGTTATCTGAAAAGTAGGTGTGTATGTAGTTCACACTGTAACATAGAAATGTGAAAGTGATGTTATACACTTTGTAAAAAATTGTAAATCGCAGATGTCATTCCATACTTCGAAGACTTGTACAAAATTAATTTGCGGCACTTTAACAGTTTTCTATTAACGGCATTTTGTGGGCCAATCTTCAATATCAACTTCTTTAGTGCTCCATGAAACATATGTACCAAATTCCATAAACTTTTTCATATCTCAATTTTTACTTAAGTTACCGCTTGCACGTACAGACGAACGAACTGACACGCAGACATCGGGAGTTCAACTCATCTGACCTCGTCATCCTTATTATTTTGATATACAGGACTCTATATCTATCTCGATTAGTTTATTCGATTGGATCAAACGCTCTGGATTGTCCAGTAGATCCTATGTGCTTCCATTAGCACTATCAATCATTACAATACCATATTTCTCTCTACTGTGTTGAGCTCTCTTATATACTATTTTGCTATACTTTGTTTAATTTCTTTACAGAACTTCGTTGCGCTTGTTATGATTTTGGTACGTTGGTGCATACCCGATATGAGCGTTGAGTTGCGCGACCAGATACGACGTGAAGTTTATCTCACTAATGAAATAATTATTGCCAAGGAAGCTGAGCGGGCACGATTGGGTGAGTTGTTGTAAAAATATATCGGAAAATTGTTTGAGTAGTAAAATATTGTTTAACGTAATTACAGGGTTGGATAGACGTAGCTGTTCCGTCTGTGGACATGACTATCGTACAGACACAATGTGAAATACACAAAAAATTTTCATCGCAAGAGAATCTCTCTATGGTTAGAAAAAAAGTCACAAAAATTACTGCGTGAAAATAAATTCTATTTTTAATATAAATATTCAAATATGATTAATGCTGGATTTTTGTCAATTTTGCCACTTTGATTAAAACTGACTTTAGTATTTAGTAACGAGTAATCTCCAAAATTAAGAAACGCTGCTATGAAAGCGTTCTAGATCTATGTTAAATCATATGCCTATAAAATCTCATATAATTATCCATATACGTATTTACTTGGACTCTTTGCAACTGCAAATGTTTTGTTAGTAGGCGTTGAATATTTTTTATTTTGCTTGAGCTATTCTTAATTTTTTATTTGCATCTTGTTAGTTATTACTAAAGTTTCATATTCTCAGAATATTTTCATATGCTCAGGTGCTTGTTCTCAAAATAATAAAGTGTGCAAATAATAATTGTTAAAAACTCACTGTTAGAAGTATTTAATACAATGGTGTTAAGTAAGAAAAATAAGTCATTATGTTGCAAATTGTTTATTTGCTTTAGAATTGCAACTTATAAATATGTGTTCTTGAAAAAGTTATTCTTATAGTTTGGCTCTAGAAACAAAAAATATATTTTCTTATATTGTAACCTATTTTTGAAACTGGTAATAGTTTTCGAAAAATAAGCCTGAATTTGAAATATGTTCCTAATATAGTTAAAACATATAATGTGATATTTATTTACAAGAATTCACAAAATCTCTATTCAAATATTTAACTGAGACTGTGGTTGGAAATGAATGGGGTTAATTGAAAATCAAAAGCTCAGATAAATACATATGTATATAGCATCAAATATATAATGAAAACTATCAATATTTTCAATTACTGTATGCAACGTACTTTAGTTAATTTTGTATTTTAATAGTTTACTGCAAAATTCAAATATTATTTTTTCACCTAAATTAAAGGGTGAATGTTTTGTTTAACTAGATTTGCTACTACTGACTTAATTATTTATACTTAAATTTTAATCACCAAATTTAAATATTTTGTGATAAATTAGATAATATTTATATTGAAATAAAATTCGTTGAATGAAGGCATGAAATTGATGAGTTTTTGTTTCATTTCTCAAACTTGTTCGACGGAGCTCAAGCTGACTTTAATTTGCTTTTAAAAGTTGATTTAAACTTTTTCAAAAACGACAACATATTCTAAAAGATTGCAAAATTATAAAATAATAATTTTTGTAAAAACTTTCAGTGAATCACCCAAATTAGCTAAAAAATTTTACTTTAGTTTAATAACTGAAGCAATTTGGTTTGTTGGGTAAATGCTCAGAGTAAAAAAAAGCTGCAAGCAATTCCAAATATAATATATGTATGTAAGTGTCGGAATTCTTGAGAGCAACAACCATAAGTGACAACTACATTTCACTGCTCAGAAAATTGCTCAATTTCCGTTTCTTTACTTACATGCAGGCATTAACTTGTCATAAGCGCCGGTAAAAATACATAAATCCTTAATAAACAACGTTTTGTTGTTGATGTTGTTGATGACGCTGTAGACTTGCCGTAAACCCCCTTTAATTATTCTATATGTTTGAGTTCATTGTCACCTACGAAAGAAAAAATAGGTTTATACTGTTGTTGTTTTTTGTTGGCAGTATTAATGGCGAATTGACGCCATCGTCTAGCGCATGCTGTGCAATATAATGACGTCAACAACTTTAGGTTGTGATGTTCATATGTATGTACCATGTTCTCTGTAGTGCTGTTGTAGTGGTTGTCACAAATATTGAGAGCTCGCCGCGTTTCACTCTCTGTCTTTTGTGCCTTCATACGGTCGGTATTTTTGGTTTGTCGAATTTCGATAGCGTAGCTTCTTGACCGCACGCTTTTCTATAATCATTTGTTGTCAATTCTTTGGGGTTAAAAACGTTTAACTGGCTGTCAATTCGTACACACATGAATTCCGAGTTTAGCCATTGTCGCATTTCGTCAATTGTCACAATCCATTATTTTAATGCTCTTATTAAATGGTTATTATGAATATAAATACATATTCTCACACACTCTTCCAATATAACCCAGTGGCAAGTGGATTTTACGAATTCTTTCAGCTTGTAAATGAGTGATAGTATATCCACTATATGTATGTATGTATATCTCGGCATAATTCTAGTTTTATGGAGTATTACTATACATTTACAGCATTCCTTAACTTTTCAAAAAAAAAAAAAAAAAAATTGAAAAACGCTTTAATACATACTTTTATGAGCTAGTACAGTAAGGAAACCAAATACAGTTGTGCAATTTCTAATTTCCTACGGGGTCAACTATCCTGACGCACGCAGACGCCCTGCATACAAAAAATTCAAAACAAAAAATGTCTTGAAAGCAAACACCAAATTAAGAATGCTCAACAAAAACCAAATAACGAATTGCATTGCCGTTTGTCGGCGGGTCAGAAGTTGGCACTCGAAACAGTTTAGAAACTGTTGACGGCATTGCTTTTCCGCATTCGCGGAAGTTTACGAGAACAACGAATCAGTTTAGTTTTGGGTTTTCTGGCGTAAACGCTGAACATCGAACAACACGTCAAAATATAATTAGTATAAGCAAAACTTGAGCAATGTAAATGTTCATAGGGAGTGAATTTAAATTTTTGTACGGCATTTCGGAATATACTATGTATATGGAATGTTGGCGATAAAATCCGTAAAATCCGTAAACAGAGAAAAAAATTCGCTGAGATAGTTTAAAAAATTCTGGGCTCCAGAAGAAATATAGCAACTAAAAAACTGTTGCTGCAAACAAACGCAAACTTTAGTTAAATAAAAGGACTAACTGAGCACTAGTGAGATTGTTAAATATATGTACACGTGAAACTTAAAGTCCATAAAGTGCAAGTTATTGCCCGACGTGCTGCACACAAATGCATCCGGAATTATATAAGTATAATTTTGTGTGTATGTAATTAAGTATACCCATGATTTCACAGTCTAATTAAACAAGTCATGCTGTGCGAAAATATTACACCAATGCAAGGTTAAATTTACGCTGGCTATAGTAAAGCAATAGCAAGAGCAAAAAAATATATATAATATATAAAAAATAAAAAACAACAACAATAAGACACGATTAGAGGAAGTAAAGAGACGGCACATCAACGAAGGACGCCAATACCCAGAATAAGCGAATGCAGAGAAAATAAATGTAAGTGAATGTGAATGTGAATGCCGGCTCGAGTACACGTGCAACATGGGGTATGTCGTCCTGCACTTACTATTATATATACATATTAGGGAGGCATAAGTAAAGGTTGTGTTCGAGAAGATTATGGAAGTGAGTACCTGGTTGCTTAAAAAATTAGGAAAGCGTGCCTTTTTGTTATATAGTACGATGAACAGAATTTATTTTAAGCAAACACTGACTTCTAAATTACATTCGAAAGATAAGAAAATATATGTATATTTTGCTGTATTGATTTTTAACATGAGAGGTATGTGTGTTTACCACCCTACATTTGTTTATATTCTCACATTTAGGGTTTGATTAACTTTATTTTTCGCTTTGGCGCACCTGCAGTGTTCACACCCATTGGTTGCGTATACGCACTGGTATACAGTTCGCATCCTCAGACTTTTTAGTGCATTTGATCTTTTGCTTAGTAGTTCTGGTTCTGGTTCTAGTCTGAGATTTTAGGATTTTTGAAATTATAAATTTACTGCAGGACTTGAAAATCAGTTTAATAGATTGATCAGGTTTGAAATGATTAGCGATAGTTGGGTCAGGTAGCAGGGTTGTTTATTTAAACTCAGCAAATTTATAAATTTATTCGTCGATTGAGTCAAGAAAAAATTTGAATCGAAAATCTAGGCATATATAGCGTTGAAAAGCTTGTAGAAACACAGAAGCAGAATACCTCAACGGCAATCCTCTCGTAGAGGTCAGTCTCCATTTTAAATTACTCAGTGCATTTCAAAGCTAACTCGCTTTGTTGTAATTAATGACCATAAAAAGTCTTTGTTACGTTTAGGTAATTGGAAATTAGAGCTTAGTTGGAATTTCGTTGGAGCGCAAGAAGTTTACTCAAGACTTCACACACCTTTTAGTATCTCTCGCTTATTCTATCATTAACCTCTGTCTTTAAATCACATAACAAGGGAAATAATTAATAGTTACGTAGACCTTGTATCCATTGTACTTAACTTTTTCGTAATCAGCTTATGCTTATAGTTTAATCAACCATTTAAGCAGAGTTCCTCTTTTGTCCTTATTTCGTACATTTGCTTAGCGCCAACCTTCAGTATATGGAAAACAAGCAAGGACTACAGTAATATCATATTTGAAATTAATAAACAAATAAAAATCAACAAAAAATATCGACGACAACTATTCACACATACGCTCTTAAGGTACATATTACCATTTATTTGCACGCAATCAACATTCATACTTAGCAATTGTGTAGAGATACGGCGTTGTCACGACGACATGAACTGTTGGCTCTAAATGGTCACTGCATTTGATAGTGAAACATCTTAAACATTCACTGCAAATATTTTAACGTTGTTGAGTAATTCTAAATCGCATAGTTATGCAAGTTGAATGCATTAGTAGAAAAACTAATAATATTTAAAAAACATATTATATTTAATGTAATTTTTAGTGTCAGTTAAAAAGTGTTGATAGATGAATCTAATAATATAAGATATAAATATAAGAATATTATATTCCGAAATTCTGCGGTATAGTCATAAGTGAAGTGGGTTTCTTCGAATGCAAAAATATATACAAGTAGATCTTGAAGGAAAGACATTTTAAGACGATTCTCAATATACAAATTTGTTGTCCTCTACACACCGTTTGGAACTGTAACTGACTTATTATCTGTTGCAAATTCGCATGCAAAATTGTGCATAGTGGTACTAAGCTGTTTGTTAATATCCGCGTAATATATCGAAGAGAGCCGATACATGTGCTCCTTTGATTCCTTATCAGGTTACTTTTCGAATATGGTACTAAATTGGAAAAATTAAAAAGAAATCTCCGGAAAATGAACGTCCCATTTTAAACCAAACTTTTTGTTTTCGATAGGGAATAGAGCTCCAGTAGCTCAAGTTAAAACCGTTAAGAAAGATATTTCATATCCATTAACAGTTGAAGGTGGAGCTGCTCTTTTCCATACTCTATGCAAAAAGAATATATGCTAGTGGCTGATGTACTGTTTTTTTGTTGTTCCAATGAATTATGTCGCTTTCTTGTGTGCGTGCATTACATATGTACTTGACGTAAATTGTGTCCTTGTGTCTATTTTTACATGTTTTACGTCGAAATCAACAAATTTTACGTATTTATACTAAAAAGGGATGCATGTAGGTTCCTAATAAAGCCATGACAACATACCCATACACACAAACATTCATACTTAAAAAAACATACGCAGTTTGTCTCATCATCTCAATCAGTTGTGGAAAAGACGACTTGGTGATTTTCATTATCTCTCCAGTGCGATCCGAACGTCAATTTGCGGAATCGGGCTTAGAAAAATATTTATATATATTGTCGTTCGAGATTCCTTTGATTATAGCTAACATTTTTAATAAATTCCCGTGTTTCGTGGATTTTTTATTATAGAAATTTCCTAAAAAATAACACTCATTGATTCCTTTCAGAATATACAATATAATAAATATGTTAATATGCAAGCGCCAGTTAAAGTTTTTACAAAAGTAATTTAAAATAACATATAAACAGAAAGATATAAATTCTAAAATTTCAAATTGTTTAAACTTTTTTCTATTTAATACTACGTGAATGTACAATATTTTAGAAATTCGGAGAAATCTAAAATTGTATGACTAATAGTATCGATGTTTCTATATGGACTGGAATCTAACAGATGAATAAAAGCAAATTAACGGTGCTATGTGAAATGAAAAACTAAATAAACATATATTTGAACCAGAAATCGAAGCTAATTAATCTACAAAAATATTATGAAACATACTTATATTCACAAAAGCAGCCATAAGGCAAGTCAAATGCAAAAATTTCACTATGAAAGCGTGTGCCAAATTGTCTAAATAATGTTGACATTAACAATTATTATTTAATTCCTATTTTTGCATAATTTATGTTAAATTATTTGTATATTTTTTATTGGTTAGGTGAACCAATCAAGCGGAAGTGTTGTTTTCGTGCACATACGGACCCGATTGTGAGCGCTAGCGTATATTGTACGTTATGTCACATATAAATATTTTGTGTAAGTGTGTAGGGTTAGTTGTTTACCAGAATCACATATATGTACATATGTACCATAGATCTAATTAAAATATGAAAAACATTTCGAGAAAAATGGAAATTTCAATTCTTTATAGGTGAAATCGACTCTCTTGGAATGAAAATCGGAATTTTCCGAAGGCAACCTTTTCTAAACCAAAATTCGCTTTTATGTTAGTTGTACAATATAGCTCTATGCTAAATGGTTTTCATATTTATATCCATATGTTACCACCAACCGTTGCTCTAGGAAAAAATAAATTATCTGAGAACAGAATACTAATTCATCTACCATATATAAAAAGTAGAGTCATTAATACATTTCACGCTGTACAAGTTAAAATCATTTACTTCTAAATTGTTCTAATTTCAATTTAAGGTGTTAATTTTCCGAAAGCTTTTATAAATCAATGTCCCTAATATTTATTAATTAACGTTTAAAAGAGTAGTAACTGACGGTGCTGTTTTGTGTCTGCTTGATTCTTATTTGTTTACTGCCGCTATTAGTTTTATATGGCATTAATATTTGCACAATTCGCCTTTCAAGATTTTAATAGATTTTAATTAAATTGTGTGCGCAATACTTTTGTTAGAAATTACTCAAATTTCGGCGTGGAACAACAATTTTGTTGGCATTAAAGCGTACAATAATCAAAGTAATTTTACTTGAACACGGTATCAGAAAGATTCAACGATCAAAATGTTAACTGTACTATTACGTAAATAAACTTTAACATTCGGCTATTTTTCAAGGAAGTTAAATTGGAATTATTGCCTAATATCTTAAACACTTGAACTTCTGATAATTCGTTGCCCAGTAGCGGATTTATAATCCGCCACTGTCGTAGCCTATTATTTAATTTTATGTACGAGTGTGTACTATGAGTATATGTGTCTCACCGCCAATTTGGCTATTGTCTTTAGGCCAACGCATTGCTATTTTGTCACAGAACTCTAAAATTTGTCAGATAAGAATACCAACTGCCTCTGTAGGAAAAATGTTAGTAGAAGCAGAACTGTAAGGTTATTCCGTTAAATGTTCCATTTCTGAAGGTCCTTGTCTTCTGGAAACACTTATTGCGTCTTGGAGTGTTTTTAGTGCCACTTTAATGTGTGTTTATAAGAAGGGTGGCGTATCGTATTTTATATCAGTTAAAAATGGAAAAATACAAAAATTTATTTTAGTGAATTGTGGTGAAAATTACCCCCAAAGTTTGAAGTACCGTGGGAACGAATTTTTCAGCGACGTTATATCAAACGTTGATACATACATATGGGTATGTATGGACACCTTTCTGCTTTCCTACAATTGTTTGAATTGCATTGTTTGAATATTTTAATCCACCCTAATGCTTATATAATATACCTAGATATGAATTTAGTACGTGTATGCTTTGTATAACATTGTACCATTTTCTATACAATTAATTCGTTTGCTGAGAAAATATTATATAATGAACGAAAATTTTATTAAGTTTCTGTTATAAAATTAAATCCTCTGGCCGATGAAGAATTACACTGTGTAATAATAGGGGATTAATTTATTTACCATATTTTTGAACTTCCATTTCTTGTTTCCATGTACCCGCTTAACAATACATCCCTTTGCCCTCATATACTTAATGTAAATATTTTCGAGCATCTGGTTGACTTTATACCGCATCTATCGATCAATATTTACGAAATCTTAATGAAATTCAGAAAGAGCCTCTTTCTAATTACAGTTCGTCCTCTTACCTAAAATGGATGAAAGCAGGGCAACACTTTCCCTTGTTTAATATAAAGTTTTACCAACACCTGAATGTATTAGCCCGGCTTTGATCCTTGGAAGTTGCGAGAGTAAAAAATATTCGGTTACACGCGAATTCAGCCCTTCCTTACTTGCTGTTTTTCCATTTCTTGTTCCCATGTACGCGCTTAAACAATGAATGTATGTATGTATGTGCATTTATACCTTTCTATTTTTGGCCTTATGCCTTTCTTTTTCTTTATTGTATTCTGAATAAGATGTGTACAAAGAGCGGCGATGATGATGAGTGCTTGAGAAAAAAAGAGGT